TTCCAATTTAATTAAAAATTTATCTATTTTCGATTTTGGGCACTTTCAGACAAAAGTATCACAAAATTTTATTTTTTTGGGGCATGAGTATCTGAGCAATTGATTCTATGCAAATGCGCTTTCTCACGGTTCCATTACATCTTTTCTTTATCAAATCCTATATTAACAGGATATAAAAACATATAGAGACTAATTCTCAAGTAAATAAATGTATTCCCTGATAGAAATCAGTGAGCTTACTAATATGTATACATTATCATTTGAGAATATATATTTGCTTCGATTACTAGTTTTTCTAAACAAATAGTCCTTTTTAACTAGTAGCTACGATTCTTTCTTTATTTCAGTAATAATGTTACAAATTCTGTAAAATTAATTGCTACTTCATTTTCAAGAATGTCTCTGTTTTCAGCCTAACTCTTTTCAAGAATGTTCTTTTCAACAATATCATCTTAGCTTTAGTAACACTTTAAAGTGTAAAAAGATAAATCTCCTAAAGAAAATTTAAGAAGAGAAAGTGTCATCTGAATTCCAGATGAAATGTGAATCGACTATATATTTGTCTTCCTTTTTCTATTAAGCCGTAAGTATTAGACTAAAAGTTCAAGAAAAGTATTAAGCTAATTGATTGATCAAACAACATAACATGGTTCACATAATTTCAATTTTTTATTCTCATTGAGAACACAAACTAACTAGAATAAAAAGAAACATAAAAAAAAAAATTTGAAGCGATTATATCAAGAAAATTGCAATAGATTATATCCTCGTAAACTAAAAGAGTTTGTAGCATAAATTGTAATTCACCGCAAAATCATGTAAATTTACAAAGCTGCAAAATATGAAATCCTTCTAATATTTCAAAATGTAAAGAGTTGTTGATCGTGCACAAAAAAAAAGAGTTATCGATCACGGTCAACAGAAGAATAAATATGCTAGTAAAAGAAAAAGGAAACGACATTTTGATAGATTTATAGATTCGCCGCACGGCACATCACATGGGATGGAATGGGATGAAGACAAAAGATCTTTATCCCAACTTGGGGAATGTTTTGACCAATTGGTAATCTTATTCTGTTCATAAATCATACTCATAATATCACCTTTTCTTGCTAATTAGCTGTAATTAGTTGTAACAATAAATCAAATAAAGTTACCCAACATAGCAAGAAACAGAATACCCATAGATTCGCTATTTCTACGGCCGCCGAGGAGAAACCCTAGTGGATATATACAAAACCAACTATGTGTACATCAAAAGACTAATAAAATTAGCACTTCATTACTAAACTCCGTAAATTTATTAAACAAAACTATCTTCTTGTAGATATGTACTCAGTGGTATATTCAGCATAGAGAAGCAAGAAAGGTAAGGAACCAGAGTTGGAATAAGAAGGGGGGAGGGGGATGAAAAGAAAAAAAGGTATGGCAGCCAGTAAGAGAAGAGCAATTATTCATACATATGTTTTGAACTAATTTTAGGACCCATGTTGTGTGTGCGCAAAATAATATTTGATTATAGACCAGCTAAATTTAATTTTTATATGAGAATATAGTAATATGCTTTAGAGTTTTGTAAACTTTATCATACATATAATACCTGATGGGTCATGGGTTTTATCTATTTTCAACCATGATCTAGATATGTTTTTAAATTATTTAATAGGCATTTGGAGCTTTTTTAAAGTAATTTACAGGTTTAGGTAGTCATATGAAGAAAATGATATTTTTGAGACATTTGAAGAGTTTGAAGAAAGCTTCTGTCATGATAAAATATCAATTGACGCTTGAAGAACTATGTCGATCGACGGTCACCAATTATAATCGATCAGCGCAACTATGCTGCCATCGATCGACACCGAATCCATCCGAGAGTTAATGACAAATTAGAAGATTTCAAGTTTCGCAAAAGTTCCATTAATTGCAATTTAAGTCTATGGCCGCCTGTAGGCTATATTACTAAAGTTATGTATCATTTTAGAGGCAGGCTTTCCTAGGGACCTTCTAGACCTAGTTTGGAGAAGAGCAACTTGTTTTACCATTGAAGGAATAGAGTTTTAGGAGTTTGGAGAGATAAATCTGAGACTACAAAACAGAGAACATCTTGAACTTCTTTGTTTCTTTACTCTTATTTTACTTTGTTTCTTGTTTACACATGAGTTTTATTCACACCATCATAACCTTGTCTCCTATGAATATGTTTGAGTAATCTCATTTGTTAAATTTAGGTTCCTCATAAGGTTGATCTATATATTGATAATATGACTGATGTTAAGGTGTTTTAAATTTAGTTCTTCAACCTAGTTATGCTTAATACTAGATTTAGAATTGATCACTCTTAAATCTAGATCTTAGGAATAATTGAGATAAACATTCATTTCTTCAATACCTGAACCCTAACTAGTTTGACCTAACTAACTAGACTCACACGAAAGTTGGTCTAGAGAGTTAGAGAACAGTATTAACCTACTCGTAAAGCTTGCTGGAAGAGCTGTCGATCGACGAGATCATAATCATATCGATCGACTGCTTGAAAGGTGTATGGATCGATGCTCTCTAAGGCACATCGATCGACAATTTCCTGAGATCAAAATATGACTATTGAGATATGAGATCTAGACAAAGGAAACCTATTTAATTTCACTATTTACTTTGAGTTCATGAACGATTAAACCCTTAAAGTCAGAAATCAATTAAATATTTCTAATATCTAAGATAATACCTAAGCCTAGCTATTTTCCCAACTAAAGACCACTTCAAATCAAGCGATTGAACAATCATTTGTTCACCTCATTTTTATTACTGTTTTACTTCGTTTAAACCAATCATAAGTCTAACTTCATATTAAATACTACAATCTATTGCGTAGTTCTAGAGTCTATATGGATTTCATCTCTAAATATTACCCTAAACATCTTATTTGAGAAAGTAATTCACTCATTACGATAATTTGAGTGATATCAATACCCTTGTTAATATCATATGTTTTTAATAGTGTAGACAAATGTTATTTAAAGTATATCAAGACAGAAAAGACATATATAGAGCATTAAGGTCGTCATCAATTTCTCAAAAAAAAGCTAGAAAATTCCAACGGAAACCTAAATTACATCCTTAGGTTTTGATTTGTAAAGATGGTCTTAAAGCCGTATTTTGAAAATGACACAAAGATAAAAAAGTTACATTCGACGTACATATAAAAAGAAGATTGAGACAGTCTCTTAGCATCTAAGCAAGCACACTTAAATGATATTCTTTTGTGTTTGTTAATATGGTTATGATTTCTTTTGCTAGTTCATATATACTAATAAATAAAGCATATATTTGCGTTATTGGTGGTTTTGCCATCCATAAATAAAACTGCACCACTGCATAATCATTGTTTGAATTGACGAGATACAAGCCAAGTTTTAGAAAAAGAAAAGAAAAAATTCCACGAACTCACAAAATCTACAATTGAAAGGAATTGGAGGGAAAAGACCTCATATATGGATGCTCAATGACTGAGAAATCACAAGTGGGTTGTAGAACTTGTCGAGTTTCTTTAGGTATATCATCAACTCATCAAGAGACTGAGAAGTGTGACTCACAAATGGGTTCAATAACTTGTAGACTTTCTTTGGTCATATGACAAAGCTTTTTGTTTATGAAGAAAGTGGCACACGCTTTTCTGGTTTGAGTCTTCTGACCCAAAAATACTTTATTTACAAAACTACTTACAATAACTATGCGACGTCAACTTCTTGTTGTAAACATTATTATATAAAAATATGTTCATATACCTTGGTTGTGAAAATGACACTTAAATTATTACAGTAAAGAAACATGAAAGGAAATTTTGTAAAGATAATGAATTAGTCAAAAAGAAAGGAAAATTTCAGAGACAAGAAAAAATAGTCTCGCAATTACTTACTACCATAAAACATAATGTTAATGTAGCAAATTTATGTGATCTGCAGCAGAAATACAAAAATTTGATTGTTGATATACAAAATTATGTATGGCAATTAGTAAGCTAGATTTTTAGCAAAAAAAAAAAAACAGTTAGCTAAATAATAGTTAGAAAAATAAAATCCTAATATGATTCATGAAAACTTCATTTTATGGTATTTTTTTATTTTTTAAATGTGACCCACTGAATTTTTAAAACTTGCCCTAGCCTATATACAAAGGGGTTAGAGTATTTCCAATGGAGTCTTCCCATTAGGACTCTTAAAATATATATTATATATATGTATATATTATATAAGTATAAGTATTTATGGGGTCAATAATTTATGTTGAATCCTATAGATAAAGCTTCTTAAAATTAAATTTTTAGAATCTTTATCAATGGGTTCCGCAAAAATTGTGAACCCCACATATACTTATACCTATATAATATATATAATACATATTTTAAGAATTCTAATGGGAAAAAACCTATTGGAGGAGGTCTTATACACAAAATAAAAAGCTACGAAATTTTTTTTTTTTTTTGCAAAAGAGTAAATATCATAAAATGAAGGTTGTAGGGTTACATAAGCCTAAAGAGTGTTTCCTTGGCAAAAAAGAAATAAAAAACAAGGGCAACACATTAATTGGATTTAGGTGGGATCACCTTATCCATAAAACCTTAAGAGAAGAAAAGTTCCTCCTATGCTTCCTCGCTGAGATGGTATTTCGGATGTCTGTCGATTGTTCTGAAAGTGACCTGATTTGAGGCAAATCCGTTAAGGTGCACGGCAGAGTTCTGTTGTCTCCAGATGTGGTATATTGTTGAGTGAGTGGCTAGTTACGAAATTTTTCACTCTCTAATACTTTCCTTGTTTTACTAGTTAGTTAGTCAGATTTCTCTCTAGGAATAGAAAGCAAGGGAATAACACAAGAAAGAAGCAAGCCAATGAGGAGAAGTACAAGCTGGGCATCTCCTGCAGGCTACTCTCTCAACAGCAAACTCATGCTCTCTTCCGTAGACATCCTCTTCGCCGCTGTGATTATGATCCTCTGCTTCCACAGCTATGCCTGATTGTTATTACGTCGTCAAAATTGTCTCTTCGCTGCATATTTTTACCTCCGCACTCTCTCCTCCTCCTCTTCCCTCTCCCCTCTCGATCCAGCGGTTTTCGAGAAGATTCTTATCTTTGTTTACTCCTCGGATACTCATCAAATGCCGCTGGAGGAATGCTTCGTTTCCTTGTCGGAGTTCGAGAAAGAAGACCAAGGTCGTCTCCTCCCTAAATGTGGCCACGCTTTTCATGTTGATTGCATCGATACTTGGTTTCGTTCCAGATCCACTTGCCCTCTTTGCAGAGCTCCGATTCAACCCGATAATCTCTCAACCAGATCCGAATCCACCGAGCAAGCGCTTCGTTTAAACCGGTGGAGGACAGAGAAACTGGAACTTCTTCTTCTTTTTCTTTTTACTCTTCATCGTCTTCACCGTTGAGGATTTCGATGGAGGCGTGTGAGAGAAAACCGAACGATTTAGTCGGTGTCATGGTAGAGATTCCCAGAGAATTTGAAGTCTTTTCTAATAATAATAATTTGGTTCTATCCAACTGCCAAAACGGACATACATTTCCGAGTAATCAGATTTTATCTTTGAAAAGACTATGGAGCATCTAAAAAAGTGTTCCGGCAAAGAAAGGTCATTTTCCACAAAATACGGACACGTAGCACCAGTGCTAGCACACGTGGCACCAATGCTAGCCCATGTGGCACTAATTCTTGGCGGTTACCCATGTACTAAGAGAGCGCCTACGTTATCCACCACTGAATTGATACAAGGCTAGTGATCTACGAAGAAATAAAACTTTCATTTGTTATTTATTTGAGTCTCTTTAAACAGATCATTTAAATTTTCAAAAAGATGATTCGGTTGTGAATATAATTGTAGCTAAAACAATTAGCTAGGCACCAGTAAATTGACTAGCATTCACAATTATTTATTCCAATAAAAAGAACACATGAATGACATCAAATGATACAAGCTAACATAATGACGTCAAAGTTAATTATGCAATCAGTCCACCAACGAAAGGCACCCCAGTTTGTCCAATCCAACCCTCGCCAACAAAGAAATTAGTGACAGTGAAATTGGAAGCATCAGTAGCGTTAATGACCTGATAACCGGGCCAAGTGACTCTGTTTGTTGTGTTAGAACCGGGTCCAGTATTATTGTGTTCCGCATAGTAAAGTGTGCTCAATGCGAAATCTCCAGACCATGCGTTCCAGCCAGTCGGGTCAAGAAACCCGTCTATGTACGTCTGCATAACTACGGTTCTCGAATATTCCTTCCACGGCCGACCAAGGTAAGTTTTTACTGTATAGTTGCTCGAAACCAAATCATCAGCGGGTCTTATCGTACACCCATGTAACACGGTTCCAGTGTTCTGGTTCGGGTCTGTACGACCTTGAGCTGTAACCTCGTTCGCCTGACCTTTACGAGGCTGACGTGGATACAAATTACAGTTTTGTAGTACCACTGCGGCATTACCGAATATAAAATCAACCGTACCGTAAATATCGCATTCACGATAGAACTGTCTGAGAGAATGCGTGTATAAAGTATCTTGATAGGCTTCAAAACTACAGCTATAGAAGATAGAGAAGTCTCCACCGCTCCTCAATGCGACGGCTTGATTCTTGGTTGGTCCTGCCGTGTTGCGGATTGTTATGTTAACGCCAATAAAATTAGTACCTGACAGAACTGCGATTCATGAACAAAACGTAGAGTTAGTTAATTATTTCATTAAAACTACAATATTCTAAAAAATACTCTACAAAATATTTAGGAAGTGTTTCAAAAAAGAAAAAGATTTAGGAAATAAATAAAAAATTGAGATATTTTAGTTTTATATATTAGAGCATCCGCATTAGAGGTTCATGGGCGAGGTTTACACGCGGATCAAGAAAAAATAATAATAAAATATGCTGATTTTGGTGAACCTTAGTCTTGGAGGTTCGTCGGGATGAACCCGGTTCACACGAGGTTCGCCACGTGGCGTATCGGGATTGGTCCGTTATTAATTTTTTTTTTTTTTTAGGAAAAACAAACCAAAAAAAAAATTAATTTTTTTTTCTATGAACCTCTCTCCATCAGGTTCACTGATGGGGATGCTCTTAGGTTTTAGTCGAGGACACCATGAATTGACGTGGAGTCAAGACTTTCGGTAAACAAAGTTCAAAAAAAAAAAAAAAAATTCGGTAGACCATCCGACCAAGTCTCATTCTATTGCATAGGAAAAGTCTATATTAAAAGCAAAGTAGACTACAATTATTTTTTAATGTTTTTGGTGGTTAAAATTATTGTCTCTCAGTATAGATTTTCTTTTCTTTATCTAAAGTGTCTAAAAATAGTTTTATTTTAAAACAAAGGTTTCTAAAAGAATAGTACATCGCACTTGCACGAAGAAGTCAAGTTGCCTTGATAAAATTTAAAAATTTTCAAAAAATTGTAAATACATTATAATTAAGCCGTATACCACTATGTTTTTTATACTATCTTTAATTTAATTTAATACGTATAATACCATCTTTTAAAGAATAAAAATGAATACTTACTAAATGTGACGTATACCACTATGTTTTTTTTGTGACAAAAAAAAGAATAAAAATGAATATTGTCAATATATAGAATTGTTTTGCTTCATATTTAATTTTGTGAGATTATATATGAGGAATGATTAACTTACTAAATGTGGCGGAGTTGAAAGTGGTCCATCCATCAACGACACTCCGGTTTCCGGTGATAACGGTTTGGTTAATGCCGTCACCGATCATCATCACATACCTCTTGTACTTTGGAATCTCCACGTATTCTTCGTACAACCCCGCCGTTACGTATATCAAGAAATAACCGTTAGTACCGTCAGTTTTATTAGGAGCGGCTGCTACTGCTTCGTTTATGGTCGTGAAGTTTCCCGTCCCGTTCTGCATCACTGTCACCATGTCGCTCACCTTAACGGCGCCTTCTTCGGCTTGGAGGAGCTTTCTCCCAGACCTAGTCACGGTGTCATAAACAGCACGAGCCCTTTCCGACATCTTTAAAGGTAATTTACCGTTACGGAAACCGAAAAACTTTTTGAATCTAGCTTGTGGGTTCCAAACAGGCCTCGACCTTTTCCTTATTGGCACCCAACCTACAAAAGTCAAATACCAATTTATAATTTCATATATAACAACACATATATCTAAGAATGCGTATTAACTGTAAATTATTATTTTAGTAGATCAATGGATTATATAGAACACTATACCCGTAAGCATGTGAAACAAAAAGAGCCGGGTATGTGTATCAATTGACAATTGTTACTATCAGTGTTTCAACTATCAAATCTCGTGAGTTGGTTTTCCCCCATCATTTTCTCTTTAATGAAAAAACATTATGCACGAAAGCAAGAATTTTAGAAATGAAATGTGGATAAAATGCAGATTTTATGCCGCGTTATTGAAGGTACGTACTAATTAAGTATGTTAATAGAAAATACGTGCATGCTTAAATTTTTCATATTTTTATTTTTAAAATTTTAGGTCTTCTTATTTGTATATACCTTTGGAAAAGAGGGCAAGAGAGACTCCATAGAGTTTTGTATCATTGAAAAGATCACCGGATAGACCATTCTCAGACGCCGTGGATGTAAGACCTTCAAGACAAGTCTGTTCGTTGGTGATTGTAGCACTTAGAAAAGTATGAACATCCTCAGCCCTAGAAACCGACAGCGTTTTGGTGGCATCGACGGTCTGTGAGCTACTAAGGAAGAAGTCCATGGTATTGCTCGCCAGGAATTTGCAGTCTTCGAGTGCCCGCACGGTGGATTTAGCAGCCACTTTGCCTTTCCGGTTTAGTTGATCGTCGATCAGTGACATGAACCGCCTGGCACGTGAGATGGATTGTCTTAGAGAGGAACGACCGTAGGAGTAAATATCTCCCGGCTGGTTAGGGAGAACCGATCTACAGTAAGATGGATCCGGCGCGAAGCGACATACATCTGACGGTGACGTGGCATTTCTGGTGGCCTGAAATTCAGCAGCGAGAGAAGGAGATAACAATAAAGAGAAGAAGCTAAGGCTGAAGAACATGAGATTCTGAGACATCTTTTGATTTTTGTTAGAGCTTAATTAATTGTGTGTTCGGTTTGAGAAATTGTGTTAAATGTGCTGGATTATTTATAGGGTTTCAAGAACGTTCAATTTGGAGTACATACAAGTTTAAGTCAATGATAATAATGTATGTGTACATCTATAATTGTGACGGTGTTACAAAGTTCAAACATATATGATATATTACCATATTGTTATAATAATATTCAAACGTATATATAGATATTTCTCTTACTAAAACCATGGCGTAGTTATACCATATCCTTGACAATTAGAGAATCACCATTACGAATTGATACCCAGATCTATCATAAATTCTAAAACAAAAGATTATAATAGTCATGGATCATTTACTTTATGAATCCGTCTCCTATGAGTGCTTCTGTAGGAACCCGCCCAATTAATAAGTGGCAATCCGTGATTTTTTTTATTGTTACAAAAAAAAATTAAAAAGAAAATCTACCCTAAGAATTCGAGCCCTCGGTTTTACTAAGAGATAATTAGTTGGTATATTCTAAATGAATCTCTAATTAGGCAATTACCTATGATTTGACATTATTAGAAAATGATGATTTTGAACCTATTTTCAGTAATCTCTCTCCTAATACTTTTTCTCCTAACACTTTAATAACGATTCCAGTTTTTTGCTATTATATCTCTGATTCAAATTTTCTCATCATCTCTTTTATTATTTGTTCATTTTCTCTTCAATTTTTTAGTTTTTTCTTTACTTTATGAAATAATAATATTTTTTCAAATTATTATTTTCCATATATAATACTATCAGTTGTGTTATTAATATTATATATAGAAAATAATGTGATGTTAACTGTTAACAAATACATGTACCAGATGTATTAACAGAGACATTAACTGTTAACAAAATTTGTAGATGTTAACAGATGTGTTAGTTGTTAACAAATACATGTAGCAGGTGTATTAACAGAGACAATAACTGTTAACAAATTTATTAACAGCTAACACCTCTGATATATGTATTTGTTAACCGCTAACACATCTATTACATTTACATTATTTGTTACAGATAACACATTTGTTAACAATCGGTGATTTTATAGATATTGCAATGATGATTTTCTCAATCTGTGGTGTAATTAAACAAATCAATACTTTGTTTCGTGTGTTAATTAGTTTTTAACGAATAAAAATTAATTTGTTTCGTGTGTCAATTAGTTTTTAATGAATACAAAAATTTGGATGAAAAAATATGGAAAACAAAAATATAATAAAAAATAGAAAGAGAGTGTAAGAA